ACGAAGTATTAGAATTTCATGACATCATTCGACGCAAAAGTACTTAACAAATAATAAAATAATTCATTGTATTTATACCTGTTTTAAAAAGATTTTCAATGTAAATTATAATACAATTTAAAAGTGAACTTTGTGGATACGCTAACTATCGATAACCAAGGCGATAGTGCGCGGTTTCAATTTAAGATTAAATATATTCATATTTATCATTTTATATATTTTTCACGTGCAATTTATTTAAATTTMAATTATTAATTGATTTAGAGGARWTATTTTGTATCATTGGTATAMATTAAAAAYATATTTCATTATTACTCCATATGAGCAATGGAATCCACTTTTAACCTGTGCCGCAAGTGTGACCATATTTTCYGTCCAWMATTAATACGTATTTAGTATKTTGTGCGAATATGCATTCAGCATTGGTTTGTTGTGTTTTCCGTCAGAAATCTTTCTCGTATTGTTTCATCAAGAACTAAAATCTAAAAATGTGGCCGGTAATTATGGCACTTCTGCGGCGGAATGCTGTTTACATCACTTTACCAGTGGCGGCCGTCGTTGGATTTATCGGCTATAATCTCGAGAGCCTTCTATCCGACAAGTACACGCCATATAGTCGTGAGTGATATTTTTACTCGTAACTACATAACATGCCAAAATTAATATCTATGTACATATATTTTTAATTATAGCTTCCATACAAGAGATCCGCTCTCAGCGCCAAGTTGCTGAAATAGAAAATGCAGTTAATGTGGAGAAATTAAAGCTGTCGAGTCCCGTTCTGGAACGTAATTTATCGCCATCGTTGCAGCCGAAAACGTGATTGCAGATTGTAGAGTAGCATGTTACCTAATTATAAAAAATGTATTTTAAAATTATAGTTTAATAAAAGTAAAAAATTATATGACACTTCGAATTTGAAATCGGAAGTTCCACTTTTACATCCCTTGCGGGGATCGAACCCGCGACCTTTGGATTAGAAGTCCAACGCGCTATCCTCTGCGCCAAAGGGACAGGTGGTGGACGCTTTGCCAATAACTTATACAAGCCAAGTCGAGTTTTTTCAAACTATTCTAAAGCAAAAGCTCACTGCGCCTGCCGGCTGCCTACAAAAAATTTATAACACATCTAAGCATATTTAAAGCTGTACAAACAACTTGAATGTGTCTAGAACGATTCTGAGTCAAGTAATTTGTTAAACGTAGTGGCGCTCATAGCCTCGGTGGCGCAGTTGGCAGCGCGTAAGTCTCATAATCTTAAGGTCGTGAGTTCGAGCCTCACCCGGGGCATG